GCGTATACTTGATAAATTTAATCTATTCTTTACTGATATCGGCTCTACCTTAGCCGAAAAATTCGCTAGTAGAGAAATGAAATGTTTTTCAACCTCCTTAACAAATACGTTTGCTCTTCACTACATCAGTGAGGATGAAATTCTTTTCTGTATTTCAACTAAGTACCAGAACCGAGCAGTCATCGTTGGGGATATGAACACAGACACCGCAAACACTAGTTACACTCATTATACACAATTGGTTTGTTCATTCAAATTTCGTAATCTCATACATACCCCTACGAGAGTAACCAGTACGTCGGCAACAACGATTGATCACATCTTAACTAACGTATCATCGAAAGTGAATGCTGGTGTTTATAATGAACCGATTGCAATCATATAATGAACCGATCGCAGATCACCTTTCTACCTTCGTTTCCATAAGGAAAACTCCAAACAATAATGCACAATTTTTCAGCAATACAAGCAAAATCAATTACAACTGATTACGAAACCACATTCTCTCTATCGAATTTAAAATATTGTATGACAATGACGCCAACATTGAATTAGAAAACATAACAAAAGCCCTTCGCCATGCCATTGAATGCAGTCGTTCAAACCTGTCCGCACGCTCCTATAACACCCCGCTAACTTCTTGGATGACAACAGAGATCCTTGCATTACTGAAAAAGAAAGACTTCTGGTACCACAAGTGGAGACAGCAAAAAGAAAATAAATATTATTTAGGTCAATTCAAATTGTTAAGAAATCAATCCGTGAATCTAATGAGGCAACAAAAAAGATCCATTATTCTCGACTCATTTTCCAAGCTCAACGCGATTCAAAGAAAACATGGCAAATTGTAAAAGAAGTTGTCGGTAAAGAACCAACAAAGCGTGTGTCTTCTGATGTAGTCGATGCGCTTTATACTTGATAAATTTAATCTATTCTTTACTGAAATTGGCTCTACCTTAGCCACGAAATTCTGTAGTAGAGAAATGAAATGTTCTTCAACCTCCTTAACAAATACGTTTGCTCTTCACTACATCAGTGAGGATGAAATTCATGACACCGTTGCCAATATAAGCACGAACAAAGCCAGCGGAATAGATGGTATTACTGCTCGCTTAGTGAAAGGTAACATTGATATTTTGAGTTCCATCTTGCGCCACGTATTTAACCATTGCTTGCGTACGTCAACGTACCCATCGTGTTTAAAAAACGCGAAAGTCGTGCCGGTATATAAAGGGGGCGATCGCGCTGATCTTTCTAGCTATTGGCCCATATCTGTGTTAAGCATAATAAACACCATATTCGAAAAGATTCTTGGAAAACGAATGCGCCTATTCTTAGAAAAATGTAATGCTTTTTGCCCGGAGCAGCATGGATTTAGATCACACCATTCCACATCAACAGCTCTGTTATCGTTATCACAGAAGATTAACAAGGCATTGCACAACAACCTTCTTGTGGCAGTTGTCTTCTTTGATTTAAAAAAGGCATTCGATACCGTCGACCATAATATTCTGCTTATGAAATTAAAACACTATGGATTCTGCGGCGAAGTTTTTAGCCTCCTTTCTAACTACATTGATGGACGGCATCAAACGGTCAACATGCAAGATCTTACGTCGTCATTATTAAACATAAAGACAGTACTTCAGGGGTCGGTCCTGGGGCCACTGTTATTCTCATTATACGTAAATGATTTGCCATGCATACTCAAATCGGCCGAGATGCTAATGTACACTGATGACACAGCTTTAATAGTTACCGCCGATAACATAGCCGATCTAGAATGTAGAGCTAAAGAAGAACTAGAAAATATTTTTAAGTGGTTTACAGTGAACAAATTAACACTCAATGCAAAGAAAACCAAATACACCATTTTTCACTCCCGTTACCGAGATGTTAACTGTGAGTCATTTCGACTTACAATGAACAACTGCCAACTTGAGCATGTAAAAGAACTTAAATATCTCGATGTAGTGTTCGACAGCCAATTACACTGGAAAAAACAAATTAACTCTGTTTGTACTAAGCTAGCATCTGGCTGCAGTATTATGCTACTGGCTGCCAGAAATTATTTTAGCAGAAATATTCTTAGTCCTTTATTTTTCGTTTGTTCATAGTAATCTATCATACTGCTTAGACTCATGGGGATGGACCTTTAAAACTTCCCTTGATCCTATACGAATATTACAAAAGCGTGCACTTAGAATAATAGATTATGCGGCGTATAATGAACCCAGTGCGTCTTTGTTTCACAAGTTGGATATTCTACCTTTTGATTACTTATGGCAGCATAAAACCGCAGTCACCATCAATAATGTTATTGCACACAGTGTACCTTTCGATGTATCTATCTTTTCTTCCTCGTCCTGCGTCACTAGATGCATGACATTGCAGAATTTTAATCTTCCACCTACTAAAAACGTGTATGGTGAACGCTTACTACAGTTCGTAGGAGCTAAAGTGTGGAATAACATACCACTTCAGATTAAATATTCTAAGGCTTTCTCGAGCGCACTCAAAAAATATTTGCTACATGTAGATCAATAGTAATGACCATGTACTAAGCCTTACACATAGTTTGATGATTTGATTCGTGGGGTTTAACGTCCCAAAACCACGATATGATTATGAGAGACGCCGTAGTGGAGGGCTCCGGAAATTTTGACCACCTGGGGTTCTTTAACGTGCACCCAAATCTGAGCACACGGGCCTCGACATTTCCGCCTCCATCGGAAATGCAGCCGCCGCAGCCGGGATTTGAACCCGCGGCCTGCGGTTACACATAGTTTGATGTTTTGTCTGTTCTTGATTATTTCATCATTTATGAACAAAGTGAAACAATGTGTTCTATATACATTTTTGAGCATTTACTTCACCTTAAATTCGAATGATATCTTGTATTTTTTGTGTTTTGAAAAATCGTTTTTTTGATGTTCCAATTTTTTTTTATATACAAATTGTATTCTGCTTGTATACTTTCTCCTGTTAGACCCCCTACAAGCCTATGGCTTTGGGTCTAATCAGTGTTGTGAATTTCTTGAAATGTAGTCATAACAACCTCAATAAAATGAAAAAAAAAAAGGTGTCAAAATACAAAGTAGTGTTCGATCTTACCATCTACATAGCTAATGCATCTTTATGTTGCCTGAAGGAAGATTGCAGTGCAGTTAAATGGACATACAAGCTAATGCTCAGTGATGCAACAGATACTCAACATAAACATTTTTTGTTGCTTAAAACAAATATCACTGATTTAGGCTTTTCAGAAATTATTTTACTTTTGTATTCCCTTGCACAGATGAGTGAAAGTTCAGAGTGCAAATCATGTTAAAAAGAAAAACAGGATCAAACTTTCATGATAATATTTAGGGTTGTGTTTGTTATGCAGTGCAATATGGCATGCAATTTGTACATTTTTGTGGCATGCTTTTTCTGCTGAACCTGATGCATATTTGTCTATATGTGTGTGCAGCTGTTGGTTTGGTTGCTGCCTGATTCCCTGCTGCATTCCCGAGTGCCAGGATGTGGACCACCACTGTCCAAGTTGCAAGCGGCATCTGTGCACCTACCGCAGACTCTGAGGCATGCCCGTATGGGACACTCTACTGCAGTCTGGAAACCATGGGGACCACCAACAAGCCCGGCAGCTTCCCTTTGACATTTTGCACGTGCCAGACGTGTTGTTGCTGCCTTGGGAGCCTTCCGTACGAACCCACGCTCACCCCTCTGCTCGGGACAGCACCAAAACGATAGCCGCTGGAACTCCGTGTCCAGAACGACTCTTTTCATCACTTCCCGTTTCAATGGACCTTCCCGTCTTGACAGCGCACATCACGAGACGCCTTCCCTTTGGCAATATTTGTAGTGCAATACGAGCCCTTATTTTTGTCACATAGCGAATATGCGAGTAAATGAGAAACTTAATTATTGCTTTTTGAATACATGTAGACTCTGACGATGTGGATGCTTCGACCAGCTGCTGGTTAGGCACACAGTGCAGATTGCATCTGGGAATGGTGGACAGCTGCAAGAACGTCCTTGGCGTGGATTTTTTTATGTTGTGGGACGTGTGGCCTACAGTTTATTTTCCTCAGAGGAGGAGAAAGTGGAAAGTTTCGAATGCGAATGCCTCCTTGAAGGGACTGTAAGAGGAGCCCAGAATCATGTTTTGTAGAAACTTTTTTTCATAAGGATACTTTTTCAATTCTCGCTGCAAACGACCTGCTTGATTGTGATGCAGAACGAACTTGACTCAGTCTAGCAAAAGTTCATGCTGCTTCCAACATGCTGTATTCAAGATTCTCAGTGAAGATAGTGTTTACTCAGGCCGCCATCAAGTTTTGTTCTCACTGCATGATGTTTGCGCTTGGTGTTCGCTGAGCGATAAGGTAAAGGGCTCGACTTTGCACAGTTTGCAAGTATCCCCTCCTCAAACCGTGAGAAATGACATGCCTGGTAGTGATAGAAAAACGTGCTTTTGAATGGTTCACAATTTTGGTTTGTGTGAGGAATTTATTTGTGTGCTATACAATTTATCTGCTTAGTAATCAAACTTACAAGCTATGGTTGTGGGCTGCCATGATTGGAATATGTATGTAGCAACCATAAATGAAAAAAAAAATGCCAAATACAAGTAGTGTGCGTCTTCCATCTACTACAATCATCTTTATTTGCTGAAGGAAGATTGCAGTGCAGTTAAATGGACATACAAGCTAATGCTCAGTGATGCAACAGATACTCAACATAAACATTTTTTGTTGCTTAAAACAAATATCACTGATTTAGGCTTTTCAGAAATTATTTTACTTTTGTATTCCCTTGCACAGATGAGTGAAAGTTCAGAGTGCAAATCATGTTAAAAAGAAAAACAGGATCAAACTTTCATGATAATATTTAGGGTTGTGTTTGTTATGCAGTGCAATATGGCATGCAATTTGTACATTTTTGTGGCATGCTTTTTCTGCTGAACCTGATGCATATTTGTCTCTATGTGTGTTCAGCTGTTGGCTGGGTTGCTGCCTGATTCCCTGCTGCATTCCCGAGTGCCAGGATGTGGACCACCACTGTCCAAGTTGCAAGCGGCATCTGTGCACCTACCGCAGACTCTGAGGCATGCCCGTATGGGACACTCTACTGCAGTCTGGAAACCATGGGGACCACCAACAAGCCCGGCAGCTTCCCTTTGACATTTTGCACGTGCCAGACGTGTTGTTGCTGCCTTGGGAGCCTTCCGTACGAACCCACGCTCACCCCTCTGCTCGGGACAGCACCAAAACGATAGCCGCTGGAACTCCGTGTCCAAGAACGACTCTTTTCATCACTTCCCGTTTCAATGGACCTTCCCGTCTTGACAGCGCACATCACGAGACGCCTTCCCTTTGGCAATATTTGTAGTGCAATACGAGCCCTTATTTTTGTCACATAGCGAATATGCGAGTAAATGAGAAACTTAATTATTGCTTTTTGAATACATGTAGACTCTGACGATGTGGATGCTTCGACCAGCTGCTGGTTAGGCACACAGTGCAGATTGCATCTGGAATGGTGGACAGCTGCAAGAACGTCCTTGGCGTGGATTTTTTTATGTTGTGGGACGTGTGGCCTACAGTTTATTTTCCTCAGAGGAGGAGAAAGTGGAAGTTTCGAATGCAGAATGCCTCCTTGAAGGGACTGTAAGAGGAGCCCAGAATCATGTTTGTAGAACTTTTTTTCATAAGGATACTTTTTCATTCTCGCTGCAACGACCTGCTTGATTGTGATGCAGAACGAACTTGACTCAGTTCTAGCAAAAGTTCATGCTGCTTCCAACATGCTGTATTCAAGATTCTCAGTGAAGATAGTGTTTACTCAGGCCGCCATCAAGTTTTGTTCTCACTGCATGATGTTTGCGCTTGGTGTTCGCTGAGCGATAAGGTAAAGGGCTCGACTTTGCACAGTTTGCAAGTATCCCCTCCTGCAAACCGTGAGAAATGACATGCCTGGCTAGTGAGTAGAACAGAAGTGCTAGTGCAATGGTTCACAATTTCTGGTTCATGTGTGAGGAATCTTATTAGATAGTGTGCTAGCTACAAATTTTGTAATGCCTAAAGTAATCAACCTTACAGAACTCTGTTGTTGGCATGCTCATATATGCGGAATATGTATTGCAACCATGTTGCGGCTATGCCTTAAATTTGTTGCTCGCAATCTGTCCAATCATCTTTTCTTTGATTGTATACAGTATTGTGTAATCACACTTGTCAACTTTCGTAAGTTGCCTCTGCACTTGTACGTTTTAGGCAGGGATAGTAATTTCGGTACTGTATGTTTAAATAAAGCGAAACTATTCTCGATTCACAGCTGCACTCCTCATTGTTGCCAGCATAGACACTGCCCAAACTGCAGTAGTTTGCCAAGAAGGTGCGTAATATGTCCAGATTTTTTATTACTTATACAAGCAAAAGTAAAAACATTAGTTTGAGGGCAATATGAATACAACGACTGGTCGGTAAAAACTCAATGCTGGGACGTATGTAAAATATTGTAAATAAACTGCACCTGACGAAAAAAATACCTTGGTTATAGGTACTATTATAAGCGCATGCATTTTTGTATAACAATTTGCTGTGGTTAAAAGAAGTTTGTTGAGAACTCTATAAAGTATATATTCCTAAATATTTATTCTAAGCCACATGCAGAGAGCCCTTAGCGTATATGTTCAAAATATAACACAATCCCCATGGTGCTATCGCCAAGTTACGTGAATGAGATTTGTCGCATAGCTCTCTTAGTGGTGAAACATAGTGACAAACAGTTTTGCAGTGACAAAGAGTCCCATTAAAAAAAAAACTGACCTGTAACAGAACGATTTGTCAAATGTGCTTTGCTGTAACTGATACGGTGCTAACTTTGCGATTCTGGAAGTTAGCTATGAAGTCAAACCTCGTTATAAAACAAATTAATATTTGCAGCAAAAGACTGCTGTATTGCACATCTTGTAAGTAGACAACATAACGCAAACAGTGTACCGCACTATGCGGTGTCGCTGACGTTCGACTTGCTACAGGAGCCCGTGGGAACAAGCCATGGTATCGTCCCGTGAATCTCCTTCCAAGAACCGACCGTTTACTCCAAAGTCGGCAAAGGAAGCGCATGTGCTATGAGGCAGAAACTAGTTTACAGGAGGCGATGGCTACCCCACACTCATCAAAGCACGTTTAAGTGCAGCAGCCTGAGAGCATTGAAGCACACCCACTTGCTGCAAAGAGTTAAATGAAACTATAATTAAACAATTCAAGCTCTTTCCCTACTGTAGGGTAGTGCTTGGTGGCGATAGCAAGGAGCATTTGATTTAGAAACCATGAAGATCAGGGTGGATAAGTGGCCGACTTGTCCGGCTGTCCTCGATACACGTGTGAATTTGTTCTAGCGCACTGCTACTAAGCAAAAACCAGCATAGCTTAACTGAAGTGCGGTACGTGCTTCTAGGTGCTGCATGTCATGCATTCCCTGCTATGCTTCTCCATATCCATATGCACCAGTATATCCATGCTGTCGGTGTGTTCTGGCAGCAAAGTTTGCTTGTGCTCACTCCATTAATTGTGAGCTATGTAGGGCGGTATGGCACATCTTTAGTACCACGCACTGTGATTATGGTGCTCGAATGCAGACCTGAAGCTCGCAGAATTCAATCCTGGCAGCAGTAGCCACATTTTATGGAGTCCATATACTAAGGCGCTGGTTTTAGAATCTCTGGCGGTCGCGATTTCCTGAGCCCTTTCACTACGGCATCTCTCACATATATATCGTAGTTTTGGGATGTTGAACACCAACATTTAAATTTTGTATTGTACCAATTCAGAATGACTGCAATACTGCTTTCATTTCTGCAAGCAACATGCACTTCAAGCTGTCTCATGCAAAGAGGCAGAGGTGGAATGCGCTCGTCTTCTTGCTTATTAGAGGCAAAAGCAGTGTGCATTTATAATGTTGGTACTGCAGATATTAGCTCATTTTACGACAGGATTGCTGGCAATAACCGATATTCACAGGCCCCATTTTTTCTGAAACAAGAGTCCCTCTCGTGCTTTCAACAAGAGCGAATGTGCGTTTCTAGTTCTCTCGTTTGTGAGAGACGATATCATGCCTCTTGCAATGCTCCCGCTTTCTTTCGCGTAGGTGTATTGCCAGTGCTGTGCTTTAACGTTTCCCTTGCATACCTGCCGCGCCCGATCGCCCCCAACATCGATTACATGGTTGAAGGAACACCGATTTCGGCAGAAGAATGGCCGGACGACTCTTGGCAGCCTGGCAGTCATCGCCCGGTTTTTGCGCCCAGGAGAAGCGACACCTTGAGTTCTGCCAGGCAACACCGCATCTAAACGGCGCCCAGCAAGCGACCTGAAACCGTGCCCGCCGCTTTTGCGAAGATGCGGTTCACTACCTAGGATGCCGCCTTACGCTATCCACATCGTGGAACGGCCGAAATCTCCCGTCGACCTTACGAAGCTGTCGCCATGGCAACTGTACGAAGCCCTTTTGTAGGCCGCGTCGCTACCGGACCAGCCGCCCGTGTCTCGCGACAAAGTGCGGGTTCACCCCACAAACAACACCTTCACCCTTAGTGTGCGAGAATCCGTCCAAGCACAAGCCTACCTTCGCGTCACGTCACTGCAGATTGGAGTCCGGACCATCTAATTTCACGTTTAAGCCCGACCACCCGACGATGCATTTCGTGGCATCATGTTCAATGCCTACGACAGCTTTACTGATGCAGAAGTATTGAAGGACTTGCAAGAGAGCAACCAAACTATGCCTATCCTGGGAGGTCGTCGCATGAAACGGACCAACTACGTACTCGTAACCATGCTTGGAGATTGCTTGCCCGGACGGATCTTCTATCACGGCGTCTACATGCCTCTACCACTTCTACCCAAGAGTAGAAACATGCTTTAACTGCCGCAAGGTGGGTCACGAACTGACGTTTGCCCTTATCCAAAACGCAACCGCTACATGTGTACGTTGTGGCAGGAACACACGCCTATCCCACAGGGCACCCAACCGACATGCCGTTCCCGCTGCATCGTTTGTAAAGGCGGTCACGCAACGAACAGTTCGAACTGCAAATGCCGTTTCTTTAAGAAGCCTACTCCGTCCGGCTACGCGCCGGCGCAAGCACCCAACGAAGAGCCACAACCGCAGCAGCCATAAATCCTTCGCACCAATCACTCACCGTCCCAAAAGCAGTCGTACCCGCCTCTCGGCCAGCTGCAGCAGCAGCAACAGACCAGCCGTTCGGGACCCCGCAATCGTGGCCAGTCCCAGTCCAGGTCCAAGTTGCGGTCCCGTTCTGCTCGCTACCTCAACGCGTCCTCGTCGCCTATCTCCTCCTCCCCTGGTTCATCCCAGGGATTGTCACAGTCATCGTCCGTGCCTGGTCCCAAGAAACTCACTTGCTTGGGCCTAATGACCCCCAGCGTCGTTCAAAGAGTTACCGATGTCGTCGCAGGATCCACAGGTCAGGGAGTTGGTCAGGGAGAACTCTTCACTTAAGGCACAACTTTCCTCACAGCAGTCTCAGCTCTCTAAACTAATGTCCCAGATAGGAAACCTTACACAATAATCCAGTCATTAGAAGCAAAGCTAGACAGAACCCTTAAGCAACCAGCCACAATCGCATCGCAAACGATGGATGCGGCCGCATCTCTTCCCCATTCCAGCCACAATCGGCAAACACCTCCACCGCGTCGCTTCATGCTAAAACCGATATTGCTACGGCGGTCACTAAAGCAATACCTGCGACTCGCACAACCCTAGACGCGAAATTCGAAGTCCTTTTCAACACTCTGCAACAGGCCATTGCGGACAAGAATACCTCACTGAACGCCCTGAAGAGTTATAAGGAGGCCACCAATAATTTACTGAATGCTCTAACAAATTACACGGAGTTCACCACCGCCAAAATCCATGCACGGCTCGAGCATCCGCCCACGTTCGGCCAACCTGCAATGCTGTAGGCGGGCCCCAAGCCTGCAATGGCTTAATCACAGCGTGTCCCACACTCACCATAAGCCAGTGGAACTGCAGGGGGTACCGTAAGAAATGGAGCAGCTCGTACAGAAACGACTGTAGCAGCTCGTACAGAAACTGCAAGCTGATCTGCAGGCGACAGAACTGACCCCGGATGTTTTCGCCTTGCAAAAGACGTCTACTCTCTCCACCCTCCCCATTTACGTGGCCTACCACCAGCTTGATACGCATGCTACCCCCTGCACATCCACGCTCGTTCACAGCAGCCTCACAGCTGTACAGCACGAATTAGAAGCTACGGGCATTTAACATACGATCGTAGAGATTCTACCACGCAAACGCACGGGCAAGTCGCTCTTCGTCCTGAATGTGTACAGTTCACCTCGTGAGAAAGCAGCAGACTTCTCTCGCCTCTTCCCTGTGACGATCGCTCTCGTCGGTGACGCGCAGCTGCTCTTGCTCGGCGACTTTAACGCACGACATCCCGATTGGGGCTACACGCACACGGATCCGAAAGGCAGAAAGCTATGGTCGTTAGTACAAGACCTTCGCCTTACTCTACTTAACGATCCGCAGCAGACGCCCACACGCATAAGCAGCAGTGTGTGTCGCGACACGTCGCTGGACCTTACACTGTGCAAGAACGTTATGCGTGCTACTTGGGACAACACGGGCCTTTTAGTGGGCAGTGACCACAACATTCTCACAATATTTCAAAGGCGCCTCAGCAAGAAGCCGAAACAGACAGCTCGCATTACCGATTGGCCGAAATTATGCCAGTTTCGTGAAGAACAAGCCTCCGACAACATTACGGACATCAATGAATGGATTTATTCCTTACAAGAGCACGCGTGCAAGTCACAACCCGTGAAGGGGAGACTATACCACCGACTTCCCCACAACAGACTCTCTCCTCCACATGTGGGACGCACACGCTGGCCTCTTGCACAGGTGGCGCCGGCAGCGTCACTACAAGAAATTACGCCGCCGCATCGAAGCGCTAGAACGCGAAATTGAGAACCACAGCCTTTCCCTTGCGAGACAGCAGTGGGGTCAGCTGTGTGACAGTCTCAATGGGCAGATGAGCTGCAAGAGAACGTGGCACCTACTACGACACTTGCTCGATCCCTGTGCGTCCAGGTCCCCTGCGCAAAAACAGCTTCACCGGGTGCTACATCGTTACCCTGGCACGGACGCTGAGCTGCTCGAAGAGTTTGCTCGTCGTTAAGTGAACCTTGCCCAGCCGAACGCGCCGCCGGACCGCTTTCCCCCATACAGCGGGAAACCGAACTCCCAACTGGACGAAGATATTACGCAGGCGGAAATCT